TCGCTCCATATAAAGTGCGTTTCCGCCGCAGTGCTAGGTACATGTCAAGTACTTACGCCAGCACATGCGAGGTTCACGAGTCATCCATCTTCATTCAGAAGCGACAGACGCATATTATGTCGGCATCTAGCGTCCAACCTAATGTAAAATTGCTTCCATCCTTATTTATAAAGTTCTTTCCGCTCTCGGGATCATTAGGCGTCTAGTTCATTTATATAAATAGACTAATGATTTGCAATGAAGATATCGGGATCATCTCAATTTAAGATTGCCCGTATGCCCTCAACTCATGTGAAGTAATTTTGTGAGCGACGGGACCAAGCAATTGACAGACTATACACGCCACAGCCTTAAGTGGATGTCTTGAATGCTCTCAAACAAACGTCCTGCTAGAGAACGTTGCTTATCCCGTTATAGGCTACGTGTGAAGTGGACATCTCTTTCTCTGATACTTAGTTAATTTCCTACATCTCACGATGCCAGGTTTTTTTCGCTATTAAATCCATGCAGGAATAAAACGCAATCGAACTTACAATCTAGTCAATAATTGATGAGCATATTTAACAGGTTGATAATGCAGAACAATTAAAATGCGAGCAAGCGAAAATTCTGAAAATTATTTTGTCATACTGAAATATGCATTTGTAAAGCGAATGCTAAAATATGTGTTCTAATCCATTCATCCAAGTAACCGAGTGTGGTAACAGGAAGAATTCTTGTTAACTCATCCTTTTTATTAAGCATACTATTATATTTATAACCGAGAAACAAACCAAAATTCTCATTAAAATGTGAGCTACAACTCTTGACGTTCATAGTAGTTCAGCATGATGCATATCAGGCTCACGCTTAAAAGTCTCGGTGCCGAACTTGAACTCTGTTTTGACGTGTCATACCGTACATATCAACACGTCTAGGTGCCGAACTTTAACTCTGTGTTAACGTGCCATGCCGTACATATCAACACGTTTAGGTGCAAAACTTGAACTCTGTGTTGACGTGTCATACCGTACATATCAACACGTCTCGGTGCCAAACTTGAACTCTGCATGTGTTGACGTATCGTACTGTTCGGTTGTTTGGTTGTTGACATAAGGTTTTAGTTGTTGACATTTGTACGGTTTTTGACTTGTCATACCGTACATATCAACACGTCTAGTGCATAGCTTGTTCTCTGCATTGCCGTGACTGGAGATCTCCAGTGCGCCGAGAGCAAGCAGGTCAGCTCGGTTCTCACACGACTTGGCCAACCGCAACCTGTTTGTGTAGTGTGTGTTTACGCCGAATTATAGAGTCAATGCTGAATGTGCCGGTGATAGCTTGCGTTTAATGCTGAATGCGAGGACAATGGTGTGTATTTAAGGCCGAATGCGCGGGTGAGAGTGTGTGTTTTCTAGTAAACGCGTGGATGTCAGTGTGTATTGATGCTAAATGCGCCAATGGGAGTTTGATTTTGCAAAATGTGTGAACAAAAGAGTGTATAGATGCTAATTAACCGATGATAGTGTGTTTGCAGAATGCAAGGTTGATAGTATATATTTATGATGAATAGATATATACTGGGGTTAGACAAATAAAGGCAAACGCCTGAGAAATCCACAAAATATTACTTTGGTATGGTGTAGGACAGGTCCACCTAATACGGCAAATACAGCCTCAATTCTCCGATGTTTGATTCATAATAATAGTGAATTGTTTCAAAACGAATTTAAACCCATTCATCAGCTAAAACTCCCTCCAGCTCTTTTTAAGACGATAGCGGCGTTAATCGACTACTGACTTGCATCTCTAAAGTCGACCATAGATGCTCGATAATATTCAGGGCCGGGTCATTATAGTAGCAGCAAATGTTTAGGTCTACTGTGAACAAGCCACAAAAATTACAAGAATCGGCGACAACCAAATTTGGCGTATTCTTAAGTTCAGCCGACTATTCTATATTATAGTAATATGAGCTAAACTTATACAACTGAATAATGATGGAGATTCACTCACGTTAAAAATTATTATCAATATGAATTTAGTTGGAGTGATTTGATACAAGATTCGAGAGTAGTTGTTTACCATTTTTATCCGTTGATCCCTGTAATGGTCGCCAGCTCCTTCGGTACATTCGATTCAGTGGGGTGAATTGATCTGAACAATTTCAAATATCTAATCATAAAATCGAATTTTATTGTTCTCCTCCTCAAGAAATCAACGAATATCTGTAACATAAAAGCATTTAATACTGACGTGTTAGATTTACTGCAATATAGTCTTGCTGCTTAAATTCGCTCTCTATGAGCATCCGATTAAAATAAAACAGTATATCGAAATGTCGTTACAACGCGAGTCACAGTTTTAAAATTATGTGACTCACAGTTTCATCAATAAAACCCCGCTTTTCCATTTTTTAAAGGAGTTTTTCTCTGATCAATTGTTGTACGCAAAAAGTTTCACAGAGCGACCAAGAAGCGTAAAATAAGTAATACTGTTCACCACACACGGTGACAAAGTGTCTCCATTGCTCTACCTGTGAGACGCGCACGAGAGTTGCACGCTCCACCGGAACCGTGCAAGCGTCCAGCGATGGATGCCGCAGCGCCTCAGCGTCACGTAACGGCGCCGTGTTATGGTCACTGCATGCCGACGCGTGCACATGCGCTCACCATCTCGAATATATGTTGGGATTTGCTCATATGCTCCCGAATATACATTGGGATTTGCTGTCATGCTCGCTATAACGTGTATTGATACAGTGGGTGCAAAATGTATCCGACACAAAGGAAAATTTTATTTAATTAAAGCCTCTTCAACAAAATAACATAAACAAACACTAGTCTATAGTAAATTTACATGGGAAATACAATTATCATATCAAAACAACAGTAACATTAAATGTTAACTTGATAATTGCAATTTTTAAAAGTTAAGGTTCAAAAAGTACCCAATACATAGTAATCAAATTTACTCAATATTTCGTCATGTGACCTTTAGTAGCCAACTGCTTCTAACCGATTGCAATACCTGTTCACAATATTAACACGTATGCTAATAGGAATTTTAGTCCATTTTTCCTAGCATATTTCCTTCGATTGGATAAGATTTCTTGGATCTCTCTCCTGCATACTCAATGTCAGTTCTCGCCGCAGATTTTCAATCGGATTTGCTTAGCCATTCCAATAACTCAATGTCCCTCTCCTGAAACCATGCAAGAGTGGCCCTAGCCGTGTGTTTAGGTTCATTGTTTTGTTGGAATATCCAATCTAGAGGAAGGTTAAATTTTTCGGCTGACTTAACGAGACATCTCTCAAGAATGCCCCGATACATTTCGGTGTAGATCATTCCTTGTTGATTTCCAATTCCCCAAGGCCTGCAGAAGAGAAAAAAAACCAAAGCAGTTTGCTGCCACCTCCTAACTTCACTGGTGGGACGGTATTCTTCGGGTGAAACGCAGAGTTCTTCTAGTGTTGGGACAACCCCAACTCTAGCTAATGTAATGCTGTGCGGTTGTTTTTCTTGCTAATTTTGAAAAAAATAATCAATATGCAAATCTTAATTTGTGTTTTGATGCGTTAAAAATGGGGTACGCAAATGCTCGTGAAACAAAAAAAAACGCCTCTTTCATATCCTCAAAATTAAAAATATAAAAATCCAAGTGCCAAAAAAAAAATAGAAAACCTTCTTCAGTAAACGCATGATGGAAATTTTATTCCCATGAACCAAATACTGCAATTTTCGCAGCCAATCTTGCATGCCAGCATGGAATACACAATAGTTTGCTCTACTTTCTTGCGTCCCATTTTTCCTGGCGATGCGATCTGTTAATTAATTGCCCGACTGGCATCTTCCCACGAATCGTTAGAGTTCATATAATGGGTGACAGCCCTCGGCATGTGAGTCTCACATCTCTCGTCCGTATACATAAACTTTAGGCGACGTCTCACTACAAGATTAATCGCGAACGCGTGATGCAATCTCATGAAGAGGCTGCCGGACATAATTCCGTACTGTACGGCAATCAATCTCTCCAGATAGACGAATAACTTAGACAAAAGTCCATGTACCGTCATTCTTCTACACTCTGTGATGTCGGTAAATCGCAGCTGGGAAAATCATAACGTTATCACTCCGCAACTTACGCTGAAGTCGACCATCGCATGAGACGGTCCAATAAACTACGCTTTTTGAATGGAGGAAACGCCGTGATGCTCTTAGAGTTTTGGGGTGATAGCTCACAGCAAACTGGATCCAAATAAAAAGTTTTTATTACCGCCCAAAATAATTAAAGATATCCTGATACGTAAAACCTTTTAAGATAATTGTCTTCGAAAGTTTTACGATATGTTCAACTCCGAACTATTTTAGAGAATTGTTTGATTTCTTTCTTCCAGACATCGACCGTAATGGCCTGTTTTGACGTGCGGAGTTCGAAGTTTTTACTATCAATTTCAATTTTGGACTTGTGTCCTGTTATGTACTGTTGAAAATATTAAGAATGATTCTTTGAATTGTATAGTTCTGGAATGGTATATGCGAATAGTACATCCGAATAGTACGTAAAATATAATTATAATATTATACTTCAAAAGGAGTGGCTGGTTGAAGAATTTTTTTTTTCTCCAATAAGAGGCAGGCATAGAAGAAACGCACGCGTTAGCAGGAAGTGGTTTCTCAAGCCATCTGCACTTTTTTACAAGCGAGTTTGTAATAAAAATCCACACTTTATTTTTTTCTCGATGTGCATTCAAGTTAATTTTTTTCGTATGTGGTTCTAATGGTTACCCACTTATAAGCCTTTATTTAGCTAAATTATAAGTTATATAGATTGTACGTTTATCATATAATCGCATTTTGTTATAGATTTGGGCATGGTGCCCAAAATTTATTCGTGCTAATGTTATTTTCCACACATTGTGTAAACATGCGCGCTGAGAAAATCGACTGAAGAATCTCTGATTTTATAGTTCCTTATTGCAAGAAATTGTAGCTCTTGACACTGTGCCGTCTGTTGACAGGCGCCTTGACGGTGTCGGACTTCCCCGTCTTCACGCTGTACGTCCAAAAGAACTGTCTCGCCACTTCCCCCGTCTGCAGTCGAGCCTGGGGCTTTGAGCGCGTCATGGGCTTCGAACTCGACGGATTCTCGAAAAAAGTCGAGAAAGTCAACTCGAGGCTCGAGTGCCAGGCCCTGTGCATGAACGAAAAAGACTTCCCTTGCCGGTGAGTGATTTGATATTTTTTGCAGCAGTTGATTTAAGTTCTGGATTTATTTTGCATAACGAGTCTCAGACGTAATATATTGTAAATTTTGTATTGTATTGGTACCCGTGATAGGAAAACTTCTTTCTCAGCCGGCCAATGAGTGTTTTTCGATGCCGAAAGCAAAAAATATATCATAACCATCAATGTTATATTGGAATAAAAACCCTTGTGATCAAAAATTAGATGCTTCAGTCTTCCGATTATACTTTTAATTGCCGTGATGTAGCAATTGCGTTTATAATTACCTGCTTCTGGTGCATGAAGGCTTGTGCAGTCTTGTGGAATATCTGCCTGATAACGAGGTGCTCGGTTAGCGCGGTAGCCTGATTATTACTGGCAAAAAAATTAAATTAAACATCGCTCCGTTTATTATGTCTCAATCTTTGAGCCCTGAGGGTGTGGTCGGTGTACGGCACTGCCTTACGTCAGTGTTATCGATAACGTCTTAAGGTTACATGCATATGACATGCAATCGACACCAGAGCAAGGGAGCACTAAACTGTCTCGCACTACTGTAAATTGAATTAGTTAGTTTAATTAGTTTCTATTGGAAACTGTGAAATAAATTTTTGAATTTTTGATTACTCGGAGAAGTCAACAACTCATTCGCAGGAATAAAATATGGTTGAAAAAAAATTAAGAAAATTTACTGACTGAACGAATAATTCATTTAACGAAGTTTATCCGTTGCTTTTGAGTTTCTACATATATAACGCTAAATTTTAGCTTCCACTATTACCTTTTTCTTAAGCAGTGAAACAAAACTGTTAACTCGGATTCAATTGTCGGTACATTCAGTTATAATGAGTAAAAGAAGCATTTGAAAGCCATTAATGAATAAAGGCCTCTAACTGCGACCAGCCTATTCTGCTCAACGACTCGTGACTTTATTGATGATTGGAGCGCGCTCGGCAAAACATTCCTGGAAGCCCATGCACTTCCTGCAGCCGGTCTATAGAAACCAATCTCTCTCGATGGCACCGTTGAAGACATCTCAGCTAATGCACGGTATCCGGTATTTCACTATGCATTCATCCCATGCAATTTTCATGAAGCCCCATAAGCACCTGCAGCCACGTCGCCTACAGCTGGTCTCGACGGCTGATTGCACCTATACAGATTTATGAAGAGATCTGTTCTGCGTTCGTGACGATATATTCAAGATTCGTCATGCTCGATATTGCCCATTATAATTTATCTCGCGGTTGTGTCTATGGTTACCGGAGAACGGGACCAAGACCGGGACAGTTATACGGGGCTCGGGGAACGGTTTGTGTATATAGTTAGCACGACCACCATCTGCCTTTACTGCCGACTTTTAATGCAAATTCTGGGGTAGAAAAACTCCCCTGAAACGAGGATAGCATCGTATTTTTAATTTCAAACAGGAGTGTGATATTAAATTTGAATAATAATCATCCTAAGCACTCGTCATCCTCATTAACTTTGTTTCTATGTGTTTTCATGGTCCGCTTTCTCAAACTAGAGAGAACCATTCCTATCCGCTACCGTTGATTTTATGCTTGATTCTTGAAAAGCGTTTCTCAATTAAACGATTTCATTGTTCTTTTGTTCTGCTTTCTATGGAAGCTTTGTTTTACAATCAATGCCACACTCTGAATTTGAGAACAAATGCTGAAGTGCTTAGTTTGCATGATTGAATTCTTTTGGATCATCCATGCGAGTCAGATTCTTTAACCATCGCGTCCGAACATTAAGTTTGTCACCTTAATAATAATAATAGCGGTTTCAGCGTTTATTAGGCCGTAGGCCTGTCGCCGATTCTTAACATCGCAGAATATTCACAGAATTTTGATGTCTCGAACTCGCAACGCGCTGCTACAATTCTGCTGTGCTTAACCGCCCGGCCTCCTCGCCGATTCTGACCAGAAACTGGCGCACAGAGCTGGGATCAAACCCGCGCCTCTCTGCGCCAATCTTGGTACTCTGAACTGTTACCACTAGGCCACCCTGATTAATAAATACCACCTTTTGATTAATAAAAATAAAATTATTGCTTACTATATAAATTATTAACATTCTCAACGATTGATTATTATTTTCATTATATTCAACTTTTTTATAAAATCTTTCTAATATTTACCGAGAAATAACGACTGTTAAATGCAATTTCCTATGATTTATAACAACCAAGCGATAATCGCAAAAAAAATTGGTCTATAATACCAAAACAGTTGCATTCCCGTCTATTCAAATCTCGAAGGCTGACAAATTCATTCAAGTCCATAACACCTGCTATGGTACTTCGGATACCTTATCACTTCGAATGCCATATCACTTCGGATACCATATGAACCAATAAACAGACTAACTAACCAAGTCCAGGCAAATGACTAATTAACAGCATCTATTCATATTATCTGGTATAATTGTAGTTAGATAAATTAATTATGTGCTAAATTAATGGCTACTAATTAACCAATTTTTGAATAACTGACAAATTCACGGCATCACATTAGTCATAATTCTTGCCAAATAAGATCATGAAACCCGGCTAAAAAATTTATACCGACGAAACCCAAACACCTGCCAAATTTACCGCATCAGTTCATTACATCTGCCAAGTTTCTCGCCAGGCTTCATCAAGACAGTTGCAAATTTTACCCGTATAAAGCTGCGCCTTCAGAGCGTGACGTTCATCTGACGCATTCTCGACATAATTGCTAATTACGTGATCGCGTTTCCTGACGCGCGCTAACGGTAACTGGAAGTCGTAGAGTCTTTCATGACGAACCTCTCTTCCAGTGATACTTCAAGACGAGTCCCTCCTCTAGTGATACTTCAAGACGAGTCCTTCCTACAGTGATACTTCAAGACGAGTCCCTCCTACAGTGATATTTCAAGACGAGTCCCTCCTACAGTGATACTTCGAGATGAGTCCCTCCTACAGTGATATTTCAAGACAAATCCCTCCTACAGTGATATTTCAAGGCGAGTCCCTCCTACAGTGATACTTCAAGACGAGTCCCTCCTACAGTGATATTTCAAGACGAGTCCCTCCTACAGTGATACTTCGAGATGAGTCCTTCCTACAGTGATATTTCAAGACTAGACGAACCTCTCATCCAATGATATTTCGAGACGAGTGCTCACCGCCGTACTCACAGTATTAGGCAGAAGAATATCATCACAATGTCATGTGAGTTAATGTACGTAATTTGAAATAAATTGTCTACTTGTTCTATGACACATTCAGCGAAGCGGTCATGTTCCAGAATTATTAGTAAGGAATTGAAAATAAAGATGTAATTTAATCTTAATTTCAATAAACCCTGTACGATTCCGTTCGATCTCGCTCAACCTCGATTCCTGATTTCAAGCAATATTTATGCTTCAATTTCCAAAAAATCCACCCCAAGCGAAAAGTTGTGATAACTGTTGGAGGCAACCACTAGCGGATCAGGATGAAGTGTGCATGAGAGCGTAATAAGAATTTCATCTCGTGTTGCCGGCCACTCCGGATGTGTGCACAGCAATTCCTGTCGATGCCTCGCGTGTTCATCTAAACAAAAGTTCAGCACGATCGGCAAACTCATCGCGCTCTGCTTAATCCGTTCGACGTCGCCATTTGTTCCTATCTCGAGATAATTCTACTCTGCCAGCGTAAAGTTCTCTCTCTGATTTGTGTTTAATTATTAATTACCGTTCAATGTCAATCCATGATGGCATAATTGAACTATTATAAAAAATTTTAATTTATTGTTTCACGATGTTTACTTATATATATTTGTAGTTTCCACAGCTAAAATCACTAATGACTAATTCCAACTACGCAACATATGTATGATTATCACCGCAAATTATTTTTGATGCTTCGCAAGGCAATGAATTATCTAATTGATGTAGGTCGAATTTCATCGCGAGTTCGGTCATGACGGGAAGATTTGTACCAGGTCGTACGATTGTCGGTGCGTTATAAATATGAGTGCAATTACGATCATGTGATAAGTGAGTGGATATTAGTTGTCACAGACATCAGAGTGCGACAAATCCGAACCTTAACTGCCTTAGTAATGACGCTTCCATTGCCTCGTCATTTCAAATAAATTGACTCTAAATGTGCAAAGAAACAACCGTTCCTAATCTTGATTTCTTTAGGTTATTTCTGTACATCATGTGAGAACATTCAACTTTTCGTAATATTGAGGCTTTCATGTGTGTTATAAAAAGTGTAATAGCATAGAAATGGGACTTCTTTTAGAATAAAAGAATAGAAGTGTCGGCACTGAAGAAATATGCCCATGGAGAGTTACAGTCATGGACAGAAGTTTAAAAAGTTTCATTATTTTGGAAATATTATTCCAGCCACGATTTAATAAGTTTCATTATTTTGGAACTATTATTCCAGCCACAATTTTTCTATTTAAAAAAATCGCTTCAATTATTATTCACCAAAATTTCTGCATTCTCAGCTGAAGAATCCACCTCACCCAAATATTTTTTATAGGCTCACCCATGCAGTGCGAGACGGTATCAGAAAAATTTCAATGAGCTTTTAAATTTTCCAAAACTTGCTGACATGTTCTAAAATTCATTGATGTTCTATCTCATATAAAACAAACCTCGATGTCTGGGCTTGGTAAAGAATTTTAAATAGCTTTTAAATCTTCCACATCTTCCGAACATTTCCCTAAATTCGTTGACATTTCATCCCATGTAAAACAAACCTAGCTGTTGAGACCCTGCAGAAATTTTTCAATTAGCTTTTCTATTTTCTGACACTTGATGACATGTCCCAAAATTCGTGTATGTTCCATCTCATGTTAAACAAAACTCGATATTTTGGCCCAGCGGGCAGTGACTCGACACCACAGGACACGCGACCTTGCACTCCGCGGTGTCTAATACCTACGGCATTAAGCTGTTTTTTAGGTCCACTCAACCTGGCATTACGCAGCCGCTCACACTATTTACCATCATTTGCTGACTTCTACATCAGCCGAAAACAATGAGGAAGAATCTTTCTACGATATTTCTGAAATTTTTATTTATTTTATTATTGGTTAGAATGGATAATTATTTTTGTGATGACGATTTAAGGTTAATTCATGTTGAATTAAATTATGATCGTAATCCTAAAATAGAGATTGATCTATTTTGGCCGTACCGTGACGTTCGAGGATGCTTAATAATTACTGTTTATGTTTCGTAACCCCTTTGCATGCTCTCAAATCTAGTTAATTTAGATTGGAATGATTCGGTCCATCTAAACGCTACTACTGCAGCAGCAATCCAATAATTTGGTATCAAGCTCTTAATTTATAAGTTCCATAAATTCTTAAGGGATGATTGACCATGTTATCGTGAGCATTTGTTGAAAGACATGTTATCGTGAGCACCTCAAGTTGACAAACATTTCAGGTATGCGCTCATTCATACCTCAAGTTGACAAACATTTAAGGTATGCATGCGCTCATTCATACCTCAAGGTGACAAACATGTAAGGTATGCGCTCATTCATACCTCAAGTTGACAAACATTTAAGGTATGCGCTCATTCATACCTCAAGTTGACAAACATTTAAGGTATGCGCTCATTCATACATCAAGTTGACAAACATTTAAAGTATGCGCTCATTCATACCTCAGGTTGACAAACATTCAAGGTATGCGCTCATTCATACCTCAAGTTAACATACATTTCTGCGTGACGTGCGCATGCCTCACTGTACGGCACCATGCAAGTGCTCTTAAAAATGAGGGAGATTTATCTAATTAACGATGCACCATGTACTATTCCCCATTTGTGGGTAATCCTAATCAAATTTAGCCCGGTAAAAGAGCAGGCTACTTGCAGAAAATGCATCACAATTCAGACAATATGACCACATTCATTTTTCGAGCGCATGGTGCTACCGATACCGCGACGCGCTCGGTCAGCAAGCGCATGCCGCGGAGTTCAACATCCTAGCGCGCAGCATATGGCCCTCTGGCCGTGGCCGCAGGTGCGGTGAATACGTCCGTGGGTTCTGTGGCTCTAATGCTTTTGAGCCTTGTTTTTTGCCCTTTCTGGTAAAGCAGAGAGAAATTTAGATAATAGAATGCTTTTTGAAGATTAAATAAGTATGACTACAAATAAAAAAGATTAGGGAAAAAATATTGGCTAAACCTGACTAAATGAAATTTTATGAACAATTTTCGAATTTATATCAAATGTTACAACAGAAGTTGTTACAACAAGTGTTACAGAATAATTAATTATTCCTGATGAACTGGCTTTCATAATGCAAAAATTTCAGGCGGACGAGCATTTAATCCGGAGTTTAATTAAAGCTAGCTATTTATTTCGTTCGACGAAAAGAAAACTTGTATTATGAGAGGTAGATACGACAAGTCTATAGTCCTTGTATCCGAAATTATTTCATTGTTGAAAAGCTGCTTCGGCTTCTCTCACCAATGCACCTACCTTGTTTTAACGGCTGTTCGCATTTATAAATATATCTCACATTTTGTATTCATTTATCACGTTTCAGGTCTGCGAACTTCAACAATGAGACAATGGACTGCAGCATCTCCGACATGGACCGCCACACGGTGGTAGGATCTGGGTCCTTCAAGCGATCGGAAAATACTGACTTCCTCGAGAACAACTGCGTCGATGACCCCGTACGGCTCTGCGAGTTCCAGAAAATGGAAGGCCGTATCCTGAAGACCGTCGACTCTGTCTTTCAAGAAGTCGAGAGCCTGGACGAATGCAAGCAGCTCTGCCTCGAGGCTCCATACAGGTGTGACATTGCTCACAAGTTTTACAGTCAAATAAACGGAGTTCGTAAATCAAACCTTTCAATGATGTATTATTCGTAACGGGATTTTCTGTATGTAATTTACATATCGGTGCTTACCAAGATATTGAACTACGACAGTATCCACTCTGATGGTAAAAAGTGTTCTATAATAGTTCTTTCTAAAATGCCTCCGAGCTATTTAACTTTTACTAGCTACGTTTATTTTCTACAGGTGCCACTCGTTTGATTACAATGACACCGGAGACAAAGTTTGCCGACTGTCCCATCATGCTGCTGCAACTCTCACTCACATCAATGATCCGTACCTTGAGCTCGTCGACTCCTCAACTTACGAACTCTCGTCATGCTACAACGTCACCATCGACTGTCGTTCTGGCGACATGGTAGCTAGAATCAAAACTTCAAAGATCTTTAATGGCAAGATTTACTCTAAAGGGTCTCCCACCACCTGTGTCAACGACATTAAAAACTCGCTTGAATTCGAGATCGAGATGCCGTACAACGATGTGGAGTGCAACGTCAAACGAGATTCAGCATCTCGCTACAGCAGTGACATTGTTATCCAGCATCATGACACCATCGTAACTTCTGCAGACTTGGGTCTTTCTGTGCATTGCCAATACGACCTTAGTAACAAATCTGTAAGTAACAGAGTGGATTTGCAAGTTACTGGAGAAGTTGAGCCCGCCCTTGAAGAGGAGAGTATCGTTGAGTCACCTAATGTCGTCATGCGCATAACCGATCGTGATGGAGAAGACGTCGGATCTGCTGCCGTTGGTGATATGCTCGAGCTCAGATTCGAAATTGTTGACAAGAACTCACCTTACGAAATTCTGGTCCGTAACCTGATCGCTCTCGAAGGAGGAGAAGGAAACCAAATTGAGCTGCTCGACGATCGCGGTTGCCCCGTCGAATTGTCCATCCTTAGACCACTGCTCAAGGTTGACGAGACAGGAAAGGTAAATTTTATGGCAGCCGATTAGATTCCTCATTTTTAAAAGCGTTTCTATTATCATACATTCTCACAAAACTATTTTTCCGGTGTTAACATATATAACAATATGACGTATAAAACCTAACATAATTGTAATGAAAAAATGGTTTATTGAATATTTTCAAATTTATTTTTAAACGTCAAACTCGGTCTTTTTCTATCTCAACAGATTTTGGGAGCTTCTTTTGATGCATTTAAGTTCCCTACAAGCGAGACTGTGCAATTCAGAGCCCTTGTCACCCCTTGCATCCCCTTCTGCGAGCCAGTCGTGTGTGATGTAGTCGACTTCAGCGGACAGGTCAAGAAAACCGAAAGCTACGGCAGAAAGAAGCGTTCCATCAGCTCGCCCAATGGTCGCCACTTCGGGACACAAGTGGTGAGGAACTTGAACTGGTTAGATTTATATTGGTCATGGCGTAAACAGAGCTGGTTTTTACTTGCGGAGATTGGTTGAAAACATTTTTGCAGGACTAGTTATAGAAGTGTTATTCTTTCTGCACGTTTAGATAAGCATTATAATTTTGGGCTTGCGTTTGAAATTGTGAGTATTAGTTAAGTTTTTATAATATAGCTATATGTATTGGCATATTCTAAATCTTTTTTTATAATATATTTGATATTGATGCTTTTCTTGAAGCAGATAACTCAAATATTATTATTGTTCCCTGCTATTAGAAACGTGAAGACAGTTTGTTACAGGAAGACAAAAAATTATTTCCATGATGTCTCTTAATGTTGAATTTGGCCAACTAAGTGATTTTTAATGTCCAGATTCAGTGGTTGACGGGCAACCACTTGGACGTTGAAGGGTTCGGGGTCCCCCACACGCAGGAACTTTCAACGCGTGCCAAGAGGGCGACGGAGTCCGATGTTCCCGAAGAGCATCTCGTGGTTCAGTCCATCACCATCACCGACAAGTTTGGCTTCCAGGGTAAAAACCCCAAGAAAGCTCCTGGTGCAAAGAAGTCCTCTCCGAAGTCTAAATCTAAGACTGTAAGTACAGGGTATATTTAGATGCTGATTTCTAAAAGAAACATCACAGTAATCTTGGCAATTTTTTTATCGGAAACTGGTGGTTGGATCACGAACCACTGGCTCCTTATTTTTTGTATAATCCAATACTTTAATGCGGAATATTCTCTCCTCCCAAAACATTATCAAATTTTAAGCTTCGAGCAATTTTCCTGTTCTCAACATTACTCCCAATATATTTAGTAGCAGTGAGCACTCCGTTAAAATTCGTTCTCTCTTACTCACAACGGTATCCTGATTCCTAAGGGAAATGCATTACTTTGTCATATTTCGAATTTTTCTCTATCAAAAAACTTTTACTAAAGTTTTCCCCACTTGAACATCCTTTACTACATTTGAGTGTGTTTCAGGTTGAAGAAGAGGAAGAAGACGTAGTGCTGTCGGAAGCATTGAGCGGATCTTGCATCAACACTATCGGCCTGATCCTCGGCTGCTCGGTGTTCCTGATCGCGCAGCTGGTGCTCATCGTGGCCTGGACCGCCGTGTGGCATCGTCGCCGACGCAACAAGCTCGAGGAACCTCTTGGCCCCTGCGCCACCACCACCACTGAGTCCCTGCGGCAGCTTTATGACTCCGGCTACCCACGAAGGGTTTAGTATAGATACAATATCCATACCCATTCTACTCATCGCAATACTTCATCATCAATGTAGACATCTCTTGAATAATCAGATTTACTCCGTTGCATTGTTACTATCTTTTTGTATGGGTTCTTGTTAATTGAGAACTAATTCATTAGATCATCAAGCTCGTGAGTGCAATAGTTTGAACTGACTTAGAATTGCGTATTTGGACATCATCGAGTGTCCCGATGGTTGTATTTTACATTTAGTTCCTGATCAAATCTCATCCCATATGGGTACTTCCATTCGGCTGCCTTAAATTTGAAATTGAGTCCGCCATTTATAATACACTCCAACCAAAATCACATCACTTACAGTTAGTGGTTTGAGAGCTCTATCAACTCAAAAAATTTTAACTCGTAAAGAAAAGGCTAATATTCCTTCTAAAATTTTTCATTGGGTTGTCGTCAACTAACAACCTTCAGCAAGAAAATGTTGATTAAATGATAGTCTCTAGTAGTGGCCAAAAATATATACATTACTTGATATAGGCGTTGAGCAATTTGTGGATAAAAATTCTGTAACTCCATCAGAACGTTTGCTCCATCAACATTTCCCTTTGTGGATAAAAATTCTGTAACTCCATCAGAACGTTTGCCCCATCAACATTTCCCTCATGTTCATCGTTCACCTATACTTCATTTACTAGAGTTTCTCGTTGGTTCATCCCCTGGATTTCGCGGTTTCAAATCCATTCTCTTCAATCTTACGCATTCGTATTCCCATGCTAGTTTATTGTAATGCAGTTGGTCATGCTGCAAATTTTATACTGGGCTTTAAACAATGTTTCTCGAATTACATTTGGTTTATGTCTTGAAAATGTACGAGTTGTGCCTATAAAATTGCGAGCCCTGCAGATGAGTTAGTTTATCGTTATTTCAGTTATCGTTTGACAGCGTGAAAGGTACTAAGTTCCCTTGAGGGCATGAATTTTGAATCTCAACCTCCATTCTCAAGTTATTAAATGCATTACTAATTTTAATATAAGGTTATTTCTCGGAGAGATGCATTCAAAAATGCCTCGTATTTACTGTGGGTATTTTTTAAGGCCTTCTCTGAGTTGTTACATACTTGGGTATCCTGAATCACTTGGCATTTACGGCATTAAATGCTAGCGAGGGGCATAGCCCTTATTTATTTGACTATTTATTTATCTATTTATTAAAATATTTATTGAACTCCTCAGGTTTTTACCGGGAGGAATGAGATAGCCAGTGTTTGTATTAATTTCTTTTGTTGCCGTTTCTCGGTTCGCATAGAACATCGAACTCCAAATTAATCTTCACTTTTAACAGATACCAACAGCTGAAGCAAACAAAGTAATTTGATTTAATGAATGATCCACATCTCAGGCATGGAAATCACCATACGATTATCCAATTTACTAGTTAATCAACATTGAACCCTAAATTTTTATCATCAATAATTGCCCAGTTGGGTTTTTTAACAGGTATGAACAATAATTTCTTTTATTTGGATTTCTAGTTCTATGTTTTTATTATTAACTGAGAAGACAAAAGGAATGTACATACAATAGAATATTAACATTCCGTTGAAAAATTGTCAATTTTATGTTGTTGTTAAAAGGAAGATGGTTTACCATTTCCCTTTATTAGTTCATTTTTGTTTCCAATTTGATTGTTATTTGTTACACCCCTTGCTGTTATTATTTTCATCGAAGTGAATTGTTATTTATTACACTCGTTATTATTTTCATCGAAGTAAATTATTCATAGATAAATTGTTGGTTCATTTTTTGTTATTGTTTTCCATATTATTTTACCGTGTGTCAGTTCCTGAGTTTATTTATATTAAATAGTGTTATCTTTTGCAATGGTGTATGAGTTACACGTAGACAGGTAACTTGCGTAACATCAGATGTGATGGCATTTCACAAATTATTTTTTCCTTTACCTCAATTTGCTTGATAAATTACTTCTCTTGATTATAATGAAATTCAAGTTGTAATGATCCAAAAATAATACTGAGTGATCAATTGAGCAACGAAACGCCATTAGTATGTCAATACGATGTCCTAACCAGCGTGTCCGAACTATTTAAATCATTCTTGAACCCGCGTGAATGCACTGATATGTAATGAGGCACTACATCTTTTGTATTAAGAATTGACCATGGGCATTTTTTCGCAAATGTGAGTGAAATCAATAAGAACTCTGGGCAGCGAGTGAACTATTTACAATCAAATACTTGTTGGTGCAATTGGTCAGAGTCATATTGTTTTCGTTGCATTTGTTCTGCTTGTGTGTTATGTTGCTTCATCTACTGAATGTTTTGCTTTGGATGTAATATAATGTTTACTTTCAGCGAGGCAGATAATTGCCAGACTGTTGCGTCTAGCTACTGCATTACACCGTTTGATATATTTCTCAATGCCAGGAAAAAATCCTATTGATATTTGTCTGCCAAAAAACATCGTAATTCAAAATAGAACGATTGAACATTGGAATTCACGGAACAGATAATTTTCTTTTATATGAACAAAGGATTATTTCATTTAGTATTGTTGTTATAAACTGCTAGGCTCACGTGTATGTGAGATATCCTTGTGCTGCAATTGTAATGCAATTACGGGCCAAGTTGTTCACAAGGCAGTTCACACATTTACTGGTAATGTAAATTCAGGGAATTTCTTCTGTATTAAATTAGGCAATAATATTGACTTTTTATTGAGGTCAAATTTATAGGCGAGATTTATATCATATTGTTTTTTTATATCGTGCGATTAACAAATGAAATTTCTGTGGAAGAACTCAATTCTCGACGTGCGCGGTGGTGTTGTATAACTAAATTATGTCAAATTCCATTGCTGCATTGTTAGCATATAAGCATTGCGAACTGGAATGAGGTCTATAGTAGCATTTCTCTAATTCGAAAATTGTAAAAGATTAAAATTATTTTAAAATTTGGTCCAATTTGAAAGGCTCAAATTTGAAAACTATTGCCCTGGTGTTGGAACAATGGATTTATTAGTTAGTCTGTGAACGAAGGCATTCCAATTGTGTAATATGTTAGTATTTATTTCACTGATAATGTACAGTTGCACCGATACCAGGGACTCGTATCCTGTATACTGCGCCGGGTTTCTGCTTGGCTTCTAGCCGCCAGTATTTCCGGGGCCGTACTATCAAAATTAGGTGAAACTTTGTAATTCCGTCGGCCACACACTTTAAGGTTTTCAAACTAAACGGACTAATAACAGACGAGAAATCAGCCGCTACGTGCACTTGAGCCGCTACACGTAACTACGATAGTACGGCCCCTGAACTCTACAAGCCCTCCGCTCTCGTCATCCACAACACGAAGTATAGCAAATAAATGTTAGTTTTTAAACATGCATTGGGTTTTACCAGAGAGTTATGAATGCTTCCAATCAAATTGATTTCCACAAGGATGGCTACTGTACTTCGGACGAAAAGTTGTCGAGTGTTTAGGGCTTGGGAAGTTTAGATTCAGCCTTCATAGGATTTAATGCTATGTCGCGGACATAGGTAGACTGTAGTGCGCGCTCTTACAACAATCGAAAGAATCAAGCGAGGTATACTGATAATCTGTAAATCATTTTGTTGTTTACCATTAAATTTTGCTACTTTCGTTCAAACCTCGACTGTATTGTAATTTGGATATGTATTTGTGTGCTTTGCTTAAAAAAGAAACTCACCATAATTCCTTTCATTTTACTGACCTTTAAATTTGTCGATAAATGCTGGTTAAATCTAATCGAGATTGAAGAAAACTGATGCGCTACACGTCTCATAAGTAGTTGTAAAAAATCCTTCAGTTGTATAGTTGTGGCAGTGTTGGACTCCCCCTTCAGTTGTATTGCGGTGGCAGTGTTGGACTCCCCCTTCAGTTGTATTGCGGTGGCAGTGTTGGACTCACCCTTCAGTTGTATTGAGGTGGCAGTGTTGGACTCACCCTTCAGTTGTATTGCGGTGGCAGTGTTGGACTCACTCTTCAGTTGTATTGAGGTGGCAGTGTTGGACTCGCATTCCAGTGCATAATGCAAAGGAAGTGGAGGAAGAAAGCCTTCACACTTCTCTGGGGCTAGAATTTCATTGGTAACGTAAAACCCCCAGAAAACAATGACCGAATTCACCGTGTTGTAATAAAACTGTACTTGGTCGTTACATAAAAAATAAATAAAATAAAGGCACAGTTAAAGCTCCAATCAAATTTTAACTCCTTAGTAAGAGTAAATTTATTTAATAGCAGCACAGTATTTCAATGTACAGTTAACCCATATCTCCTTCCGCTCCATTTAAATAATAAATCTGCACTAGCGCGATACAATTATACAGTCCAACCCTTGTGCACAACACAAAAGCTGATTTCCAGGAGCTTCAACAACATATGGGAAAACAAGTCAACAAATTGTAAACAGTAAAGGCATGAGAAGAATTATTCTACAATCATGACAATAAATGGAAGAATCGAGCGATGGCAAAGTTTGATCCCGCCCTGAAATACCCACATCCTTGTCGGTGTGTGACCTTTGGGCAGACCCCGTGAACGCTGCTCGCCTGCTGGCCCGCTAGGGCGACCGACTTGGCTGGCCCCAGAACTGGGTCTAGGCCCCGCCTCGAATTATTAATTAATTAATTATCAGACCCCGTGAACGCCGCGGGACTGCTGGCCCGCTGGGGCGACCGACTTGGCTGGTCCCAGAACTGGGTCTAGGCCCCGCCTCGCGCCGTGAAGCAAGGCAGTGAGGGTCAACAACAACAACATAAAAAACATTAACAAATTGACGAGTGCAACAAATCTTAAACAAAAATATAACCAAGCTACAGCAGCCTAATACTTCAGTAAAAACTGAAGCTTCAGATGGATCAGCGGGTAGATTCTAAGAAGGAACTCGTTCGAGGACATCAGAAAGTACTTTGGTAAACGTTTGAGGACATCATACCGTACTTCGGTAAACAAGTTTCAGAATACGAATTAAAATAGATGAGAAGATTCAATCGGAAAAATTACTTTAATAAAATAATTAACCAAACAAGACCGGGGTACACGTAGAAAATTAAGGAACGTTCCTGCGGAATTTAGTGTGGCAGAATATGAATAAAATCTATATAAGTAAACTTAGCAATTGGACTGTTCAATCATTCTTTAAGAACATAAGATCTCTTGGGTGGAAAAATTCCTCTTGTAAAATACATGCTGACTTCCCTCAGACTCGCTCAAGTTGAAACGACGCAACTTCAAATGTAAAAATATTTGAGTTGCTATGAAAAATTATGCTGGTCTCAACATCATTTAAAAACTACACGAACAATTTAACATAAGTGCTATAACGATCAGAATTTCATTTTCTCGTCAACAAGAATGCGGAAGACAAAATTTCAAGAAAAAAACATTTCAAATGGACAAGATCATAAAATATGCACTCGAGAGCAAAGCTGACAAAAGGAAATGCAAGTACCAAAAACTTCGGAAACTTAACACAACGTTGACCAGGCAGCAACGTCCACTGCTACAAATATATTACCAGTTGATGCAGATTACGTACCTATTAGTTATTCGCAATACAAGACACTAGTAATGGCTAGACTCGAAAAGCAAATTCCGACGTATGCTCGTCATCAAAATGTTTTTTTTTTAAACAGCGATAGCTGAATCCAACTATGAAATTCATACGTTTTAATGAGCTAGCAAATAATGTCTTGCAATAGACTTGGGCTATCATACAGCGGCAAGTGACAATAAACAGTCACTAGCAAAAATATAAAGACAATTATTTGTTGTAAGCTGCAACACACTACTACGTTGACTGGGATCACAGCAAGGAATGACCATCACAGATTAATCTACTCAATACTAGGCATCATCTTCTTAATGCCCAATACATTAGTAAAAATTTACAAAATAAAAACGAGAAAATATGTTGATCGACGATTATCAATTAGATTCGTCAGAAACTGACATGACGCCGGCTATGTAAACTATTAATACAAATAAAACGTGTACCTATACCATAGGTTTACCACCCTTTGTGCATCAAAGAACCAAAAAAATCCATGCAGATGCAGCAATCAATTGCATATTAATGATCACCTCACATTGACCATCGTAATTATTACCAAATATCATTACAAAAATATTCCTTTAACTTATATTCCTTTCAAAGTAGCGAAAAATGTTAACTTAGTCTTTACTTCGTTTCTGAGAGATCGTCGAGCAGCTTGCAACCTTAAGAAAATCTGTGGATTAAAAAAAAACTTTTGCTGGCGCGCTAAAAAATTTTACATATCACATGCTTAATGATGCCTTGGACATGTTTTAACAACTTTGCAAGTACGTTCAATCAATGCTAATACTATGAATAATTAGTCAAATTGAGCTGGACGTTGAGTTAATCCTCTCAATTTCGACGATGTGTCAAAATGTTACATTCGTCCATTAACCCAATAACAGACGCGTACGATCTTTACCGTGAGGGGTCAAAAACTCCACACGTCTTCCATAACATTAGAGGCCGTTACGTTCAAATGTTGGCCACACGTCCTCCATAGAATTGAAGGCCGTTACGTTCAGATGTTGGCAACACGTCCTCCATAGAATTGAAGGCCGTTACGTTCAGATGTTGGCCACACGTCCTCCATAGAATTGAAGGCCGTTACGTTCAGATGTTTGACCAGAGCGCGAGCTGTTTACTGCGCTCTGCACTCATGAAGAATTGGCCATCGGGCGTCCACGAGCAAGCCATCACGCACGAGCTGTAATTAAAATTTAACTAAATAGCAAGGTCAAGTATGAGTATCTAGCATAAAAAATTAGCAAAAATATATATAAAATTATGTAGTATAAAAAAAGTAGTAAAGTAAAGTAGAAGTAAGACGTAGCAGCGGCTATAATGCGGGCTCGAAGTAGTGAAGCCGTAACAGCTACATCCTGAGCAACGGGAACTATAGAAGTTGAAATTAAGTCTACTTTTAGCATCACTATGATATTTAAAACGGACGATTCAAATGCTTCTTCCATCGTTTTTTTCTGTTTAAAGCAATTTGCTGCTGTTCCAGTCCATCTATGAAAGATTTAGCACTGAAAAAATTACAGGATAGGATTTTACTGACTCGTGCAATACTTGGGATTGCAGAAGGAATATTTTGCTTGAGTTTCAGAAGAAAATATTCAGCGCAAGATGCTGCACTCTATAAATCAAACGACAAGATAAAACAAACTTTATATTCTAATACTGAAAATCAACAAAATACGAGTGATAGTAAGTGTAATGACAAAATTTACGTTGTCAGAGCGTGTAAGGAACGTACAAATAAAGCATGCAGAAGTGTATAAAGCATTAAAGCACGTAGGAGCGCTGACATACGCGTGCTCCTAGCGGAGATACATTGCACTTTCACTCGTTTAAGTATTCAGAACTTTAAGTATTCAAATGGTAGAAAAGAGTTAGAAGTGTAACAATGAAGTGTGTAGTGTCAGTGCGTGTAATGTACGTGCAAATCAAGCACGTAGTATAAGTATATATAACATGGAGGAAGTGCGGACGACATACACATGTTCCTTGGAGAGCGTGGTGGCGAGGGCGCTGGTGTCGACGCTCCAGACGTAGACGGCGCCGTCCGCTGACCCGACGGCGACGTATGTGTCGTCTGGAGACACGCACGCCCGCGCTGTGTCGCTGCCCAAGTGTAGGCCTTCCGCTCTGCGCACAAATATTCAATAAATTATAGCTAAGCCTTCCGCCCTGTGCGATAAAATGTGATAAATTGCAGCTGAACCTTCAGCCCAGCGCAGCAGAATCATATAAATTCCCGTTCCTACAAAAAATTTCTTTTAGCTGCTCTTGGACACCAATTTTTTTTTAGTTTGATAGTGCAAATAACTCATGAAAGTTTTTCTGTTCAGAATATTTTGTCGTTTTTCTAGTGTGGCGTTAGCTCAAATGGATCTATATGAAGACATCAGAATCAAATGATAACCGAGCCAGAAAACAAGTATAAGGTTCAGGAAATTGCATACTTATGTTCAAACGGCTTGTACTTCGATTGAAACCCAACGTAACCTATACATCTAAAGAAAAATATTTGTTTAATGCTTCTTCTACTAACAAAAATTCTAATTCTAATTCTACTAACATATCATCGGTCAAGTTATCCAGTAGTAACAATAATTACAATCATGACTATTAGCAAGGATAATCTTACGTTAACTCATATATGACGCTCCTCATTCTGACGTCGAGTACTCTGAGCACGTCATCTCTGCAGCTCACCAGGCAGTAGTTGTTATCTGGGGTAAAATAGAGACGTGTTTCTATACATTCATTTTCCTACTTTCTATTACAACTGTAAGATCCAACTTTCATTTTATTCACCTTTCCATTATTAACGAGCCTTTGTTCAAATAACGAGAATTGGAACGGTATCTGTTTGGTCGATTTTGAAGCTTTTCACTAGCTTAACAAAAAATATTCATTTTTCGATATAATTCTGGCAAATTTTTAGCTAGAAAACATCAAACCACTGCTAACAAAAATCAAAAGTGAGAACAAATCGTGTAAAATAATTATTACAGATAATTGGCAGGGACTGTGCTATCAAAAGTCAATCAATTACCGGTTACTTATTGTCTGTGATTGGTGAGTGTAGCTAGTCAAACCATCAGTGATTGTCTGACGGAACTATTTTCTTATAACAATTTAAATATGCGGCCTCTTGAATTACCCCCTGTAACATAAATACGGCCCCTTGAATTAATGTTTGAAGTAAAGCTCACTATGGAAGGAAGACACAGAAGTGACGCGGTCGACAACGTCCACGGCGATCTCATTGTCGCAGTTTGTGCGTAGGTCGTAGAGGCGGACCTTCCTGTCGTGGTGACCTGAGAGGATCTGCATTGAAGTTGCTTCACAAACGCACAAGTCGTAGCAAGACGATCCCACGAATACTGTCCGCGAACCTGGCAAAATGGACAAAATCAGCACTGGGATTCTCTTCGGAAACTTGATGAGTATTCACGACTTAAGCACTAGATTTATTCTAAACACCTCAGGAATTGATGCTCGACATGTTTGTATAAGCTTGTAGATGATGAGAACTTAGCTTCTGAATGCAGCATTTTCAAGCGGCAAAATGATTACCTAAGCGTTGCTAAAATAAATAAAATTTATTGAGCTACTCTAAAAAGAATGCGTCTCAGAATTCAGTACTAAAATGGCGTACACAAAATCCCCTATTGGCTTCAACACTGAGTCAGACACTCGATTAAAATATAAAAAAGAGAATATAATTATAAAGGAATATTAGAAAATAATTCCCGATCATGAAGACTGATAATAAGAAGTGGTATATTTAGTGGCGTTATCTTACAGGCTTTGCTCCTGAGGTCCCATATCTTGATGGTGCGGTCGCTGGAGCCCGTGACGACCTTGTTGACGTCACTAGTGAACTGACAAGCCATCACTTTGGCTGAGTGACCAGTGAACGTATGCTGCACACAACATAACCCAGTTTTGTGTACAGTGACTAATGAATGTGTGCTGGATAATTGTTAAGAATTGTTAATAAACATTTTGCATATAGTTCGCACTTGAAGTTATCATTACACAGATAAAACCTTGTTATAATCTTTTCATAGTGTGCTCACTCGGAATTATCATTATAAATAATGAAACACTGGGTGGGATGATTGGGTACTGATTCTGTCGTCGAAATTATCATTATAAAGAATTAAATACTTGGTATAATCAAGTTTAGAAATAAGGAAAAATAAATCAGTCTATAGCAAACCTAATGGAAGACAATAAATTCAAATCTACTAGCGATAAACACACAAACTATTTCACATCATAAAATAGAATTATATAATTACAATCGAAACTGAATATTGATAAAAACTTCACAGCAGTGGACGGATAATCTTTAAAGTTTTCCTGCCTTGAAGTTAAACTTTGAAGATGGCTTACCCGTATTCTTAGGTCTGACACAGACCATATCCTGGCGGCGCTGTCACTAGACGCAGCCATGATGAGGGAGTCGTCCGAGGAGAAGGTGATGGAATTGATGCCCCCGTTGCAGCCAGTCAGGGTGTTGCCTGGGCTGAATCCGTCTGTAAATAGGATGCCAAAGCAGGGTAGTTTATAACAAAATTATTCACGTGCCATGTATGACAAGAGAAATAATTGACTTTAATTTTCAGGGAGTTGAACAGTTCTTTATTCTCGCATTTGAAATGTCTTTAATATAATAAAATTACTTCCTAAAACCTGCATTTCGATTTACCAACGTCATCTAAAGAATTGTTCGACTCTCTGACAACTGAAATCACGAAATTGGTTATTAATTGCACATGTATAAAAAAGCCATTCTGTCATCTAATACTAACAAATTAAAATGGCACAAGAAACAAGCAACCAATTGGCTTACAAGACTAGTCAAAAACTTAGAAAATATAAGACAGTCAGATATATCACGATGAATAAACATTTAATTTTAATTCCCAATTATAGATTCTAAAAAACGCGTGCATTCTAAATTTGTATAATTGGTATTCTAAATTAGGGAAACCGTTCCTAAGACAAAAGGATCTGGCCACATGAATGCAATAAAAAGTAAGTATGAATGAAATTCTGCGAGACCTCGCCTCATGTTCCAGAGCTTGAGCTTCCTGTCTTCGCCCCCCGTGGCCAGCACGCGGCCGTTGTGGCTCAGGCAGAGCGCGTGCACGTCTGAGTCGTGTACTTCCTGGCAAACATGTCAATCAAGCAGTTGAAATAATCAAATAATTAGAGCCATGGTGGTCCCACTTTCAATCATACAACTTATGGTTCATAAATTAAGAGGTAAGTATGTATTTTATGCTTCCACACAGCTGTTGGCAAGGTGATGAAAATTTTCATCACCAGCCATGAAGTTAAAATCAAAATAAGGTCCAACTAACTACGCTTCATTGCGAGTGTTACTACATAACTAATAGTTATTTTTATTGCAACTTTTAGTAGGTGTTATCTAATAAGCGGTGAATATCAGGAGACTAAACAATGAATTTGGCTCGCCACAATGAATTAAAATACCTTAATTTCAAAGTTGTTCAAGGCACAAAACAAACCAAGATGACTCATTCATGGCAACTTACTTCAACTTAATGGAAACGCGGTACCAAAATTCATAACAACTCTGACACAAGAATACAACAACCTTTTTAAAGAAGCACGCGGTGGGCAGGATGCTGTAGGGACATGTGACTGTTCCCATAGCCAGTGCTTGCTTCTCAGGCTCACTGGGCAGCACGACGACGTTGAAATCTTCGGTCGCTTCTCGTATAGACTCGGCCACCTTCTCTTGCCGGGCTCTGTGAACACGTTAAAGCTATCACACTCGGCTAGGTCATAACAATTACCATTCAAATATGTATAAATATTCTTAAAGATAAGGTGATGCAATATAACACCTCTGTGAAGGTAGTTACTTCGATTTTAAAAATAAATTGAAATATCAGTAACCCAAAATGGATCACTACATAACTGGAATTCAATATTGCTTATTGTTTTGGCTCGTTCTATGGATTCACAAAACAGTAATGCCATAGAGCAATAAATTTGTATGGAAAATGTCTGAAACGCCGGCCGTCCTAATGGCCATAGCCGTGATTCCAGATGCACACACGAGCGACCTTACTTGATGACCGTCACTCTTTCACATTAATAATAACTTCTATCATTCCTCTAAACCAGCACCGACTTACCAGCTTAGCTTTGCTAGTAAGTCTAGAAATTGTCAAACACACTTTTCCGCCAGTATGGATTTTGCACACGATACCATAATTTGAGGCTGTAATTTTAGATTTAACTGCCTGACTGTGATGTGTTTTGGGTCCATATGCTTAGGTTTTTGGTTTAAGTTATGCTCACTTCAGTGTTGGGGTTTCGGTATGACTTTGATGATGAAAATACTAAAGTGAAATGCCGTACCTATAACACAGTTCATCACCTCGAACGAATGTAAATAATTGCTACTACGTCACCACCGGTACGTGTCATTAGGTAAATGAAATAGAGGCAAATGAAAATAGGTATTCTCACTTGAGTTGTTCTTCGTTCTCCCTGTTGAGCCTCTCAGCATCTTTGGATTTGTATTCAATCCACCGCTGGAGCAGCTGAATATTCTCATCCTGCAATCAGTTTACAGTGAGATAAGATTGGATAAAAGTCTTGAATAAAGTTCTCTACAAGCACTGTAACGATTTTACCTTCTGAATAATAGAAAATTTCTACAGATTATATCACCAAGAGGTGATTGGGAAGAAAATTATACAGTTTACATTTTTCTATCACTGAATATCAAGTTAAATTTAACTATAAATTACCAAACGTACATAACCTACCAAACGACTTTTTTGAAATATGTGAAGAGTGAAATATGATGAGTGAAATAGAGTATATGGCCTACAAGCTTAACAATCCCATTACTGATATAACATGTACATCTAATATAACATTTCTAATAGTTTTAGAACTAAAGTGAAGTGAATTTATGAGCCACCTGTTCAGACACCAAGTCAATATTTGCATGGTATTTTATTTTTTATTTAGTGGATAAATTCAGCGATGGTCAATTTGAAATGACTTGATTTTCCATTTTTTGACTCAGCCCTGTTCTTCAATGTACCATGATAGTACCACTAAGTTTACAATTTCAGAAGAAACGTGTACAGATGCGATAGGTGGACATTGTAAATAGCACACTCAAATAATCCCTCTATAATTTACTGAGTTGAGCTTCAAGCAAATACACAAATTTCAAATATACCTACATTTTATATAAGTAGGGACAGATTTGCAGAAACATAACTAATTAAATCATTGATCAGTTAAATAGTTTGTCCAAGCTGAGATTGGTAGTAATAGTTCATGTTAACAGTAAAGCAATTGAAGTAACATAAATGTTATATACGTACGTGATTAAACACTTTTCATTCAAGAGTGGAAATAGTTTACAGGTAATCATAAAATTTCACAACAATTTTGCACAGAAGCAATTCTAGCTAAAATTAACACACAGCTAATAAGAAATTTAAAGCATGTATTTGTTCACCGGCAATATTTGTCGAGTAAAATTTTGAAATTACCTTAAACTTACTTTCAACTTGATGAACTTAGAGTTGAGAGCTTCATAGGTCATGTTGAGAGTGTTGTATTCATCACGCACCAAGTTGTTGAGTGAAGTTAAATGTTCTATTTCTTCACTTTTCTGAATAAAGCTTTCTCTCAAAAGCATCACTTCTGACTCTAAATCACTAATTCTGGAATGCAAAAAGACAAGGTTAAAAGACAGTAAATTATATCAATTCACTATTCAAACAAGAAAGTTTTGAACACTTCATTGAACAGTGTAGTTCAAACAGAGAGTAACAATTCTCACCAATCATCATTCGTTGGGTAAGAAAAATCTCCAATGGAAAATAATAAAACTTTTCTCATAAAACAAGGATTTCTTAATGATGGGTATGATTTGAAATTATACACTTTGCATTTAGAAAGAAAATCTGAAATCTGCAAAGAATTCTCAAAGAAATAAGTATGGGCTTGAAAATTTTTTTTCTTTTATCATTTCTAAAAGTATACCTGGATAAAAGTTGCTCTAAAAATTGTGACTTAATGCTCACCTGTTGTTCTTCTCTAATATCTCCCGTTCTCGTTCCTGTATGAGATTAGTGGCTATGACAAGCTGGTCAGCGTTCTCACTCTTGGCACGATGCATGCTCGTCAACTCCTCCTGCAGTTTATAGACCTTCTGCTCCAGATTCTGAGAAAAAGAGTGTACAATTTCAAATTTAAGCAAGACAGTTACTACTTAAATTTTATGTTAATATAATTTATCAGAGCAAACAGCGCAAGCTAGCTAAAACGTACAAATTAAAATGAAGCAAATTACCGTAGTGTTAATATGCATATTGGCAGACATTTTCTCATGTGTTAAATAAGAATGAGACCACTGAAATTTAAATTAAAGTATTATTAAAAACAATGTGCAAGCTTGACACTACCCTCATTAAAAAATGTGGCAGGAAGTGCCTTGAAATAGATATTGAAGCCCTTCTGAAGCTCTATTTCAATACAAAAGCTCTGTCATTTCGGTCATTTTGTTAGTTTAGTTTTTTGGTGGAAATTTTGCAGTGTCAGGTCTAGGCTGAAAGCCGGATGATGAAAATTGTTACACTTGAATCAATTAAGAAAACTTAGTGCTACACTATGGTATTACAGTGAGTGCTCATCCAGGGCACAACTAATTCTCTCTGAGATTGTGTGCAATGAAAATTTTTGAAAGATATCAGAGGGCCCATTTTATATGGGTAACATCCTGCTTACAGGCAAGACTTGGCACCAAGGGATTTCCACCTGTCTCCTGGGCTGAAGAATTTGCTGGAACGATAAGAGTGCCATACTGAGAGCTTCAAGACACTGCCAAAAACTAGCTGCCTATTTTATAATGAGAGCATTGGCAAGCTTTGTGTCTGTGAAATGCCTGAACTTAATTGTTGATACATTGATAGCTAATCAAAGATGTACCGTACATATGTATATTTTGATAATAAACTTTTTGCTTATTACAGCCTTTCCCTAGGGTTTTTCAAACCATATCAGAGGTTAAAAAATGACCTTTACTCACATTCCATTCTAACCATTGAAATTCCACTGAAGTTTAAGATGAACAATACATATTACATAGGTAGTAGGTACATACATAATAGAGACATACCTATGTACAAACTTTTACAAAATATAAATAATATCCAGAAAAGAATTGCTTCAACAATAATTTTTCAAAAATCTGGGAACTTGAAAGTCTGACCTGAATAACAGCAGCCTGGCTGTCCAAGGCTCCATCAGCACCATCAGAGCTGCCAACTCTGCGCTGCAACATCAGGTGAGCATTTTCTAGGCGCAAGGCTTCGCATCGTTCCATCAAACCATTCACTGCAATATCAAATCAACAGGTTACAAAAAAGGTAATAAATAAACATAAGTATAAATGATTTATTTTCAGAATTCAATGCTTCAAAATTAATACAGAATGGAATAGATTTTAAGTACCTATAGAAGAACTTTGTTGCTTTTAGTTCTTGCCTAGCCTAATTGATTAACATGAGCTACCCTGTGGGATGTTCGCAATTTGCTTGACATGAATGAATTTAAGGCTTGTAGTCAGAATGCAGCGAAGTCTGAGAGCAAGATTTTCACAACCATCATGTAGAATCCTTGATCTGCCCAAAGCTTGGCCAGTTGGTACTTGGTACCCTCCGGCTTGTACTCTTTTCAAGATTTTATCCTAGCCAGCCCCTTTCTCGTGGTAACTGGTCACTTTCAGGTGGCTGAGGAATGGCCAACAGTCAGCTATAGCTAATTGGACTAGGCCGACCACTGGCCACGTATTATTCTTTGCCCCATGCCGCCCGTCGTGAACTGACAGTCGAGTAATTTACGACATCTCTTTCCCGTCATACCTTCCACAACGCCTCCATTTGAGCAGCTAGTATGTGGGATTTTCCCTCCAAGTATCAGCAGGTTCAATCATAACTAGGTATTTTTTGAGCAATAATATTTACAATAAGGAGGCTGATCAAGGAATGCCAAGTATGCATGCAAAGTATATACCATTAAATGGAGAATACAAATTACAACCCGTTTACATCTTGAAAAAAGCATTAAAGTCGCAGACTTGATGAACAATAATATTCAATGTTTCTTGAAATTTCCTCTCATTAAAACTCTTGATCACCATCTCATTTATGTGTGGAGTACAGTCTATTCTAATTTGTGATGAAACGCATAGGGAAGAGCCAAGCCTGTTCAAAGCCTCTCAGTTCTCAATCAGGGACTTATCGAATTTGAATTTATTTCAACAAAACAAATAATTACAATATATTTAGCAGCTAACTGAAGTATATAGTGAATACTTTTCATACTCACATTGTTGTATCAACTGACAGACAGCTCCCGAAGCTTTACTGTCTCTGGAGCTAAGCTGAGAATAAATGCTCTCTTTCCATTTGCCATCAGAACTTTTACTTTGCACATCACACATTGTGACAATATGAAATACTTTTAAATTTTAAGCACAGAGCAGAGTGAGCAAAGCAAAGATAAAATTAATAGATATACTTAATAGCTATTAGTCTCAGTTCCCAGTATGCATCAGAAGCTGGTTGGAATTGCAACAGCTTCAGGATATTTCAAATAATGGAAGAAGCAAAAAAAAAGGTTAGTGAAGAAATGATGGAAAACTAAAAAAATCTTATAATTTTGATTATTATGTGGTTCAACTTTCAAGTATATATGTATCTAAAGTACCAGAAGGCAACCAGGGAAATTTTCATAGAAGAATTATAAAGATTTTGAGTCAAATTACAAATTCATAACTGTTCATAACAATTTTAATTAGCATAATGAACTGTTTTAGCTGGATGTTCATTGAAAATGAACACTGTTGGTGTTGTAGTGTCATTGATTAGGAATATATTATTAAAGATTGTTACAAATGATCAATGCATTATCTAAGATTATTGGGTTATTAGTTATTACCATCAAATGGATTAATAAGAGACAATTTTGAGTGTTTTTTGTTAATAACTTCTAACCATGAAACATTTCATAAACAAGTTTAAGCTAATTTTAAAGGTCTTTGCAAATTGCAAGGGCTATTGTAGGCTTTGTAGCTATTGCATCTCCAAGAAAATTTCATATGTTGTTTGTAAAGTGCCAGACTCAATAGAAAAGTTTCCCAAAATCCAAATTACCCCTGAGAACAAGAGTCATTTTGGAGACTTGAAATAAAACTCAATTTAAAAACATTTGTAGCTTGCAGAGTGTACATATTTATTACTAACATTACTGTAAAGTCCTCCTCTTCCTTTGTGGATGATGGAGATATAGAGTAAATTATTTTTTCTGTGATTTGTAGTAGTTTTTACTTCATTGGTGATTGGTGTGATTATGATATTAGGGTAAACGCGGCATATCCCAACACATTAAGGACGCATCGAGAAATGAAAAACTATAAAAAAAAAACGTATGCGTTACGTAAGTTCTGTTGGCTTCACGTGACTCTCAAAACACCGCACTACGCGTCAGCAACGATGAAACGTCACAAAATGTTGCCATATTTATTAAAAAGCCTTTAGAATGGAAACCTACCAAATCCCTATATTCCGTCACTGTTCTCAATATTTTCCCACTAGATGGCCAAGACCTAGTGTTTTGGCAGTATTTTGACGTGCAAATGTATGACGTCACCATTTCAACCATCAACAATTGCATGGAACTAAAACAAAGCTTAATATAAAGGAAAAGCTGGACGGGTGACGGAATTAACAACGATGTTGGAATATACCGCGTTTACCCTACCATATATCCATAATACATGATTACCGTAATATTAATGCAATATTACCAGTTCTGTAATCATGGAAACGTCATCAAGCATGAATTACATAGCAAGTTGGCAACCTTATCCACTGAAAGCTTCATATCAGCAGCAATTAGGTAGCCTTTCTTCTGTGTCTCAGTGTCTGTAAACTTACAGGATTGGGCTTTTAATATTGCACCATTTTAATATGGGTCAAAATGTCAAATTCATTATAACAAAAAGATTGTGAAAAACACCAGAAAGAAATATTTTAGCGATCCATCATATTTTGTAGAGAAATAAATCATAGCCTAGTTTAGGTTAATCCACTATGCAGAGAGTGGATGAATATTGCAAGATCTTTGGCGACGCTTCAGTAGCAAAATTTACGCCTTCAGAAGATCTTGCTGACACATTTAGATTGAAATTCTTGCATTTAATATATTTGTCAGTCTTCGGCCAACTATTTAAAAAAAGTAAGGTTTCCGATATGTAAGGTTTAGGATGCAGTGAAGCTTGCCCGGAAATCAGTTACGATGAGTTCCTGCCAAAAAAATGTAAACATCAAGCTTAGGATTACGTAGTTGCGGTCACATTAGAGCGGTCAGACTGCATTAATCACATGTTCAGTTGACACTTGCTGTACAATCAGACTGTTTTTAGGGTAAAATTAGTTATTTGGGATAACACGTGCATGCAACCTTGTAAATAAGTTCGTGGCTTGTAAATAGTTTTTCATTACTCAGCGTAAATGGCTTTTCATTAAAAATTACCCGGCGACGCATCTTAAATTACCCGGCAAAGCTTAGGGCCAGTGTGGAATTCTGTATAGGTAATATATTCTCATGTCAATTTAAGAAAACGTATTGAAATACCAACCCTACCACCGCATTACACCACCTTCCACTGGATTGAAAATTGACAAACTGAGCTCATTTGAAAATGGCGTGTGGTTTGAAATCCAATCCCGTGTTGCCAACGACTAATCAAGTTAACTAGTCGTTTATCTGTAGGCTATCGGACACATTTTTGCAATGAATACGTTCTAAAATAAAAAAAACACATCCAGCTTCGTAAAAAATTCTCACGATTGGACATCGCCCACAAAGTTTTCAATTTCACACAAAATAATGAGATAAACTTCAACTCTTTCACTGCATACATTCACATGGAGTTTTCTGTTTACTTCTCACAAGACGGTTGTCACACACTTATGTTTTGGTTGTGTCTAGTTTGATGTCACAATAAATAGACTTGATTCACATTCCATTCCGAGATTTAAATGATTGAAAGTTTTTTTTAAATTATAAAAACCTATTTATACGTTCCAGATTTGAATTTTTTGCCCTATTATGTTGAATTTATCTTGATAAATTGACTTCAAATTCTGAATGATTTCGTCTGCCATCCCGCGTTTTCGAACGTTTTGTGTCTTTTAGAAAATTTTTGTTGTTTAATATGGGAAACAATTTCATTATAGAAAACATAGAGCACGTACGGTATAGTGCATTAATAATACAATTTAATTCAATGAAAAATTAATTTTCAATTTAAAAAATATAATCAGATTTTTAATTCAACATTTTTCTAATAGAATTTAATTCTACAGCATGTACCATCTAGTGTATTAAATAATAAATTTTGATTTAGTAAAATTTAATTTTATTTAATTTTTTAATTTAATTTAATTCTACAGCTTCAACTGGTAAAAATGAGCATCATAGGAATCAAAGTAAAACGGTCGTTCATACATCACAAATTGAATGACATTGGATGGATTTGATAGGTATTTTATTAATCCTGTTTATATATAAGAACGGAAATGACGCTTCTATTTCAGAATGATAATGGAAATGTTTCTACTATTTCAGAAACTTTTCT